CAATACCTAGTAAATTTGCTCACTTTTGTAATTTTCACCTTGAATGAAGATACAGAATCGACCTCCTAGTGCAACGACTTACCTCACAACAGTAAACGTTCAATTTTTGAGAGGAAAAACGTGTTTTAAAGCGTTTTAAAGCGATCTCCTCATTTTGTTTCATCAAATTGTCTTTATTTAAAAATGGCATGCAACATAAATTAATGTGATAAATTACAAATTAATAAAAAACTAATAAGTTTTTATAGACTCCTTTAATTAAAACAATTAATAATACCATAAAATATGTATTACAGGCAATAGGAGTAGACGCTGGTTATCAATTAGCGCAATTTTTCTTAATACTAAAAATATAAACCTTAACTTTGAACGTATCGACTTCTATTGCCTGTAATACATATTTTATGGTTTTATTAATTGTTATAAATTAATGTGTGATTCCTCGCTTCTGACGTCACGATTTCAACACGGCCGCTGCGACTATGCAGCGGAGCCTTAATATCTGCGACAAAGTAACTTAATTAATGTTTTATAATAAAGTCTTAATTTTACTCATCCTTTTGATAAAATTTATGCAAGTATCCGAACTATCAAGAATAATAGTATATATTTAACGCTTATTAAATTATTTATTTCAATTAGATTTGACAGTTTATGTTGCAAATAAAACAGAGAGAGGTAAAATTTGGCTTGGGACATTTCCACTTTGGATATAATTTTATCTGCTGGGTATGTCCTATTTTAAATAAAAGTATAAAAGTATATATAATAAACGTATATATACTTACATAAATACATATACAGCCATTGACAAAATTATTAGGCACCCTTGCTTTTTTTAAATTTTTCACAACTGAATGTGCATAAGCTCTCTATTTATTTGTTCGGGTCGAATGAACTCAGAAATTTATACAGCCATGTTAGGACAGACATTGAAGCCTTCTATGGCAAAAATATTTAAAGAGGAGACAGAGCAAGTGATATTCCAACAAGATAATGCTCCCTGTCATACTGCACGTAAGAGCATTGCGTGGTTTAAGCGAAATAAGATTAAGCTGTTTGAATGGCCACCACAGAGTCCAGATCTCAATCCA